GTATCGGACATTTCTCAAAGTTGTAATATCGGTATCGTATCGGAAGTGAAAAAGTGGTATCGGGACATCTCTGCAATTATGGTAATAAATTTACACATACATGAATATTTAATTGCCTAACTACATCCTTGTTAAGGACTCCTCATGATAATTATCAATAAAATTATTATTGATAATAAGTGATTAGATCTGTGTGCAGCAGATGATCTGAGTCCAGAGTTCTCAGTTCTCAACCTTCTGAAGCTCTTCTGTGGGACAGAGTGTGGATGGTTGATGGTCTCTTTTTATACCATTAAACAGGCGCCCCGCCTGTATAATGGTAGGGGAAACACTGACTAGAATATAAGTGTGGTGAAGCCAAATAAATGTTATATCGGCCTGCCATACAATGAGCTTCTGCCTGCTGAATTGACCCGCTGCTGCTGCGCTCTCATCTTCATCATCAGAGCAGAAACCGACATTAGCAAGATGGATTTATGACTGAACGAACGTCCACATGTTTTTATCATCTATGTGGGTAATAAAACATGAACTTTTTTTCTTCTCTGAAAACACGGGTGTGAAAAAACTGGGTGTTAAAGCTTCGCTCTGCGCGACGTGCAGCGGGAGGGAAGGAGAAATTGATCCCGTGACACGCTGCATGACGTAACTTTTCTACAGGGGAGGGGGAACTTTTGGGGATTTATTCTCTCTTTACGTGTTTTAAAATGCTGTATTTCTTCATTTATTTTCAGAATATTTTGAATAAATGGCCCTATAAGAAAATAAAGAAATTTTTTACCTGCCCGATGTTGCCTGCCTGACATGAAAAGTTACCTGCCCAAAACAAAAAATGTTCAAATTTTGGTAAAATAAGAAAAACGTGTACTGTATTTGTACTACAAAAATATTAACATGGTCATACAGAGGTATATAACATGTGACATCTGATTAAACAGATGCAAACATTTTAGACTGAGTTACTAACAGTCAATTGTATTTTCAAGAACATCTTCAAAAACATTTTTAGACCTTTCCAGTGTTTCTCTTAGAGTATTGGCCTTGGGGGCGGAATGAAAACAGAATGATCAACAGCAGCAGCTTTGTTTTAAATATAATTTACAGAACATGAAAAAGTCTACAATTTGCATTAAAATAATCTTTTATAGCCTATCCCAAATCTAAAGATACATTTAAGGTATCTTGAACAGGAGTCTCCCTTCAGCTTAAAGATAAATCTAATGTTATTTATACTAGTCAGAATATAACTAGAGAGATCTTAAATGGGTATTTTGCCTTGTCAAAATATATTAAGAGATGTCTATTTATTTGTTTGTTTGTTTCACTCATAAAAACAAATTAAATCATACCCTGAATTAAAAGGGTGCAGAGTGAAGAAAAAACTCTTTATCATGTTTGTCCTTTATTTTCAAAAATCAACTTCAACACACAAACAAGCTCAAGCTGGAAAGATCTCCAAATTAAAAAAAAGTAGATAAAACAAAATAATAAAAAAACATTTTATTATAAAGGAGACATATCAT